CCCCCCCCTTTTTTTTGAATTTCGACTTTTATTATTATTTTTTTGGAATTTCGATAGAAAAACATCTACAAAAGAAAGATAAATATTTTTGCATTTATGGATTTTTATTCTGAAGTTAGGAAAGAAGTACTTTTGAATCTTGGATTTTCTTTTCAATTTTCGAAAGAAGAATGAAAATATTTTTATATTTTTTGATTTTGAGAAACAACTAAAAGAAAATATTTTTTTGTATTTTTTTTAAAATTGGGGTCTCAAAGAAAAACTTTTCTAAAGAAGGAAGTAAAAGAATTTTTTTATGATTTTTTGAAAATTGGAGGCCGGAATCGATGAGGTTTGCCTACGTATCTCACATCTGGTGAGAATCAGACCCGCATAGTTCTTCCCAGTTTTGACGGAACAGGAAAACATGACACTTGAAAATTTTGGCTCATTTTGAAATGACTTTTTTTTTTCTTCAGAATTTTGGCAGATTTTCAGAATTTTCTAAATATCTACCTCTCACTTTTTGTTTCTTTGTTCTTCTTTCTCCTTTTTTTTGATTTTCTGTTTTCTCTTTTTTTTCATTTTCTTTCCCTATTCTAGAAGCTAGTCAATATGCAAGCTGAAACAGACAGATACGCAAGTAGCACGTAAGATGCATCAAGATGGTCTTTTGATTTTTAGGTACACCTGTCTTAGACGGACCCAACCCATATGTTGAGTCCCCAAAGTCAAATGCACATGATGCAAACAAGCGTTCCTACTAGGGATCCAGTATGAGGCTGAGTTATNGGGGGCAGCGTACCGGTAACTAAAAGATCATCCGGCTTTGCAACTTGTCCGAACCTCGTTCTAATTTGGTATATGACACTAATAGAAGAGGAGTCACGCCAGCGTGCACTCCCCAGAAGAGAGAAGAGAGAGGTTTCATAGCAGTTTATATACAGTTTAGATAATATCAAAACGGTAAAAGCAACATTTAGCATATTAGGATCAAACATGTACAAAAATCAGATAATAAATAAAGTCAATCATAACAGCTATTCTAAGCTCGAATTCTTAAACTCTGAACCGAAGTTCTAGGTTTGGGTCCCCAGCGGAGCCGCCAGAGCTGTCACACCTCCTTTTTCCTACACCCGAAAAGGTAGGACATGTGAGTTTTTTCCAACTTAAAGTGACAATCAAAACGGGATAATTTTATTAAAAATTCAGAGTCGTCACTTGGGATAATTTTATGGTGTCCCAAGTCACCGGTTCAAATCCTGAATCGAGGAAAAGATTGACTCTGTATTACAGTCTGCGAACACAAAAATTCAGGTAAGGAATTCTGTTAACCCGGGAGAAGGTGTTAGGCATTCCCGAGTTCCGTGGTTCTAGCACGGTCGCTCAACTGTTATATTTGGCCTATTATCTAATTTTAAAACACTTTTAAACCTATGTGCATTTTTAACTTTAAAACCGCTTTTATTTGTTTAAGGAATTATTTCAAGGTTATTTAAAACACATCACAAGTCACGCTACATGAAATGTACCCGTGATTCACGATACGTTCTATTTAACCTTGTTAGAAAATTAAAATCGGGACATATGAAATGTACCCCGAATTTTAATAATAACCGTGATAATTATATAATCAACGCGCCTGAAACAAACTGCGAAACTCGTTAGTTTTCATTTGTTCAATTCCTAAGTTTGAAATTGATGCAATGACATGGGAATTATGGAAATTTATTGTGGATAGAGTGTAAAATTAAGCTAGAAGGATTCGGATACAAGAAAATGAGCCAACTTTATTCAATTCTTCAAAACCTATATACTAGGCCCAAAAGCAGAAGATTCATCTAACGGCCCACACTAGGTAAGACTTGGAATATGCAAGTAAACTTATACAGCATATAACATGAAAATTGATTATCTCAACACATAGGAAGTTTAAACCGTAAGTTCAATTTAGAATTAGTATATCATTTAACAGGAATCCATATCAGATGGCAACACTTCAATTTAATACGCCAATTAACGGCGAATTAGCAGCTAATTAAGCTGTAGACCAGCATATAAAATCTTCAAATGAACAAACAGTTTCAACCTAAATTTTAGCTCAAACATAACAGTTATCAGCAAGATCAATTATAGGCAAACAGAAAAACAAAAGACAATTTTTGCTGATTGAACATAATTAAACTCATGAGATTAAACATGGCCATAACATGAACAATTCAACATTGACATTTATAAGTCCAACATCTAATAACAAATGAGCGAGGCATACCTAGCAACAAAACACAACTCAAAATTAGCCGAAGAAGCTGGACAGTGGCGAAACCAACAAGAATTCGTCCAAATAGAGCTTCAGAAGACTTGAAAATGGAGCTCAACAGCTTTGAATCAGCAACAAATTATTTGGATCTCGTGGACCACATACGACGACCTCGACGGACAACCTCGCCGGAAAATTAAAATGCCAGCCGAATCAGGCTACAAGATCTCAGAATCCACATGGAATTCATGTCTGAAGGAGCTAAATCGAAAAAATTGGACAATAAATGAAAGGCCCCTTTTTCACGTTTTTTATTGGAAAACTTCTACTAGGTTTTTTATTTAGTTTTGGGTTTTTCGAGGAAGAAGGAGATGAGAAACGGGGAGCAATGGTAAGAGGCCAGCCGATGAATTTCTATGTGTTATTGCGGCTGATGGTCCTCTCTTTAGCTCTTTAGGCGTTTTTTTGTGTACTTTTCCTCTTCCGCATTAGGCATTACCCCTATTATATAGATTTAGGTCTAAATGTGTATTTTTGTGCTAATTACTCTTAGGTCCTTAGGGTTTTTTTATTTTTTATTCCAAAGAAGAGTCTAGAAGGGTCCCTAGGATTAGCTTAATGAGTGCTGGGTATTGGGCTTAAGGAATAAGCTAGAAACTTGGGTCTTTATGACTAGCTATGCTTAAAATTAACATAATTAACTAAAAATATTATCAAAAATATTAATTATCCCTACTTAAGTAAAAATAATTATTAAAATAAGACTGGCCGTTAAAACAAAACTATTTTTTGGTATTTTTTTCAAGGTTAAAAATGACTATAAAACATTAATGAACCTATTTTTTGTAATTTTTGTTTTCTTGTAATAAAATAAAAGTAAAAGATTAAAAATGAGTTGAAATAGCTATATTAGACCTAAATTAAATATTTGCATGCTAAAATATAAAAAATCTTAGGGAGGGTTAAAAATCACATGTCTACAGTGAGGAGGTGTGAGTAGTTGGTTTTGGTGAGTACGAGAAGAGGTAGAGGGCGGCCTAAGAAGTATTGGGGAGAGGTGATCAGGCAGGACATGACACGATTGTAAATTTCAGAGGACATGATCCTTGATAGGAAGGTCTGGAGGTCGAGCATTATGGTTGTAGGCTAAGGGCAGTCGAGTTTTTTCTACTTCATATCGGGGGTGAGGTTGGTTTGATAAGGTTGATCTTAGACGGCTTGTGGTTAATGTAGAGTTCACACTATCCTTTCTGTTTTTCATAGCTCCGGGACTTAATTGCTTATTATTGTTATTGCATGTCATCTTATGATGCTGTTACTATCTCAATGGTTTCTGTTGACAAGACTGATGAATTGTCTCTTTTTGTTTTATTTCCGTCTTCCTAAACTGAGGGTATATTGGAAACAATCTCTCTGCCCCATCAGGGTAGGAATAAAGTCTGCGTACACACTATCCTCCCCAGATTCCACTTTGTGAGATTTTACAGGGTCGTTGTTGTTGTTGCTGCTAATGGTGGGCGGACTTTCGTAGAGTTATAACAGATTTTTTTCCCTATAAGACGATAAATAAAGTACAGTGTAACAGCTATAACTTTTTTTTTTTACAATAATATTATAATGTAACAATAATAACAGGCTAAATTACTGTAACAAACAAGCAGCAGCAAAACATCAGCTTGAAAAAGTCCAAAATCAACAAAAAAAACTACACAAAGCCCAATATTGTTTAATAAAGTCAGAGACAGCAAATTCAACAAAGTTTTCCTCTTTATAGATCCACCTGAGCCATCCCAGTGTATCAATCGTTACTCAGTAAAAGCTTCACAATTTTTTCCCCAGCGAAAATGGGGTAATCATCAATTCACGAAACTGAGCTCAATTATCCTCCTGGGAACCAGGTCGTACAGAGTGCTCAAATTCTGAATCCATTATCACCCCATCCATAACATGTACAACTATCTTCCCTCTTCTCAGATCCACCATTTCAGAAGCAATTCGATTCACTATCAATGACCCATCTGAATCTTTCGATATATAGAGTATATATCCCGATATAGAATCATAATCAATCTCCTTCCCCAACTGTACATCATTCGAGTTAATCGCTCTCGGCACAGCTGAAAACCCCATTACTCGAGTTAGTATTGCATATGTATCGTTCCCATTCTCGCCCACCAAATCATTGGGGCCCAAACCCAGGTCCCGCTCGAATGCTTTTTCAGATGGCAAAAATAAAGTGAACCCCAAATCTTGAGGCAGCATTCCGATCACCACTTCGCCCAACTTCCCAATTCCTCCTGCTGCTGTTGGATTGACTTTCAGTTTCTTAACTCCTGATAAATTAATTGCATTACTAGTTCCTACTAGTATTTCGTCAAGTTTAAGTACTGAAAGACACAGAACGAAAGCAAAAACAGAAGACACTAGAACGCACACAAATTTGATTGGATCACCTCGTCGTTTCATTTTCAGTTACACTGTTGTCAGACTAAATAGTAAATTCTGTGACTCCTTTCATCAAATAGTTAATTATAGCGTCCCATCAGGAAAAGGAAAAAGAAATCAAAGAGGAGCTTTTTCAATTATCTCTCCTAATTTTTTCAATTACCTGAAGAAGGGGAAGCTTGGAACCGTTGGACAATTTTCGCATTTCACTGGCGCTGGAAATGGAAAAAATCTCTCTCTAACAAATTTGGAGTACTGCTGTAGTGCTGAATGCTGATTTCAGCGAGTTAATTAACCCAGCTGTTTTTTTTTCCTTCTTTTTTCGCTTTTCCTTCGTTACAGCGAAACGACGTAGTTCTTAAGATATCTACTTCGTCTTTTTTCGGGAAAGCTCCTTGTTTTTTAAAAAGAAAATTACTTTTCTATTAATAGTAGTACATTTGTGTGAAAGTTATTGCTCTTTAAAGTTTCCACTATAAACGTTATAAAACAACAGTTGACTTAACTAGAGTGGAGATTAATTTTATTTTGACTTAGGGTGTGTTTGGTACGAAGGAAATATTATTTTGAAATATATTTTTCAATTTCTCATATTTGATTGATTTAAATATTTTAGAAAATATTTTTCTCATTAACTCATTCTTTTCTAATTGAAAGAAAATATTTTCCCCATATCAAGAGAAGGAAAATTATTTTCCAAAACTCTTCTTCAACCTTCTCAACTTCTTCAACCTTCTCAACCATATTCCCTATCCCCACCAACTCCCTCAAATCCACCGACCCCTGCCTCACCCACCCCTACCCCAGCCCCAACCCCACCTTTAATAGAAATATTATTAAGAATACTTTTTCTTTTTCATGTTGTGGATAGGGCACTTTTCTTTTCATTTCAACAAAATGAGTTTTTTTTCATGATGTAAAAAATATTTTCTTTCATTTAAACAAAAAATGTACTTTTTTTTCATGATGTAGAATTCTTCACTTCAACAAAATGATATAGTAAAAATTATTATCTTTCATTTCAACAAAATGAATATTTTCTTTTCATGATGTAGAAAAAATATTTTATTTCATTTTTAACAAAATGAGTACTTTTTTCATGTTATAGAAAGAGTACTTTATTTTTCAACAAAAAAATTGTATTTCCTCCTAAGTTATGGAGCACAAATTTAAATGTTGTTTTTGCGTGGAAAAATAAAGCAGAACATTAGTCCTTTTGGGTTTGTATGAATTTTTAAAAGATTAATTATATTTNTGACATTGTATTAATCAACTTTATTTTGAGATAATATGTATAAATCCATCGAATCCATAATTTGTCTTTTTGTGTGCTAAGTCCCAATAGACATTTATAATGGCTGCTTTGTTCCATAACTTCAGATTGGTGATATAGAGACCACCACCAGCTTTAGGTAAACATAATTTGTCCCATGCAACCAATGGCTTCTTTGTGATTTCATTAACCCCCAACCATATATAAGACCTGCATAGTCCCTCTACAACCTTGACCACTTTTGTTGGTAATATAAACAATTACGCCCAGAAAGCTTGTATACCAAACAACACACTTTGAAGTAACTGCACCCTCCCAGCATAAGACAAGGTCTTCGCAGTCCAAGAAGTAATTTTGGCAGTCATTTTGTCAATAAGAGGTTGCCACTGAAGAATACTTAGCTTCTTGGTAGACAAAGATACACCTAGGTATTTGAAAGGTAATTCTCCAGCAGAAAGGCCCAAATACTGTAGAATTTGCTGTTGTAGTAACCCCTCCAAAGTAGGCTTCACTCTTGTTGAGATATGCTTGTAGCCCAGAAACTTGGATGAACTGATAGAATTTTTGTTGATTGCTTGTATTGATTTCAAATCTCCTCTGGCAAATAACAGTAAATCATCAACAAAACTTAGGTGTGTGATCCCTAGTTTGGCACATCTAGGGTGATACTTAAACTTTTTCACAATCTTGAGGTTAGTCAGGTTCCTGCTCAAATATTCCATTGATATAGTAAATAAGAAGGGTGGCATTGGATCACCATGCCTCAAACCCTTAGCAACATTGAATGGCTTTGTTTGCTCACCATTAACAATAATAGAATAGTTGATTGTTTGGATGCACTCCATGACCAAGAGATGAACAACTGAGGAAATCCCAATTCTTCCATAACTTACTTCACATATGGACATTCAACAGAATCATAGGCTTTTTATAAATCAATCTTTATCATGCAACGAGGAACATGATGCAAATTCTCTTTAGACCATGAAAGTTTTTTTGGACGGTGAGGATGATGTCCTTAGACCATGATGTCCTGGGCGATGAATCGTGAGATAAGGGATTCGCAGGTCATGAAATGATGTCCTCGGGCCATGAGGATGGTGCCTCTGGACTATGACGCCTTTAAGTAATGATGTGCACTTTTAAGAGATCCTCAGGCCATGGAATGATGTCTTCCGACTATGAGGATGATTCCTTCGGACTATGACGCCTTTGGACAAAATGGCAATGTTTCAGCCTATAAAATGCAAAGATATGATACTTGGTCATATACGAAATGAAACAAGACAAGGCTTAGTCTTGTGTAAGATGAGGGCAATGATTAGCTTGGATAATGCTAAGTCTTAGATAGCGCAATGGAGATAGTATATAATCTTATGCGAGAAAAGTCAATGCTTAGTCTTATGCAATTAAGGAGGCAATGCTTAGCCTCATGCACGAATAGGAGTCAATGCTCAGTCTCGATTCAAAGAAAGGCAGTGCTTAGCCTTATGCAATTAGGGAGGAAATGCTTAGCCTAATGTAAAGAAGAGACAATGCTTAGTCTCATGCAGGGAAAGGCAGTGCTTAGCCTTATGCAATTAGGGAGGAAATGCTTAGCCTAATGTAAAGAAGAGACAATGCTTAGTCTCATGCAGGGAAAGGTAGTGCTTAGCCTTATGCAATTAGGGAGGCAATGCATATCCTCATGCAAGGAAGAGACAATTCTTAGTCTCGATGCAAGGAAATGCAGTGCTTAGCCTTATGCAATTAGGGAGGCAATGCATATCCTCATGCAAGGAAGAGACAATTCTTAGTCTCGATGCAAGGAAATGCAGTGCTTAGCCTTATGCAATTAGGGAGGCAATGCATATCCTCATGCAAGGAAGAGACAATTCTTAGTCTCGATGCAAGGAAATGCAGTGCTTAGCCTTATGCAATTAGGGAGGCAATGCATATCCTCATGCAAGGAAGAGACAATTCTTAGTCTCGATGCAAGGAAATGCAGTGCTTAGCCTTATGCAATTAGGGAGGCCATGCTTAGTCTCATGCAAGGAGGAGACAATGCTTAGTCTCATGCAGGGAAAGGTAGTGCTTAGCCTTATGCAAAATAGGAGACAACGCTTAGTCTCATGCAGGGAAAGGTAGTGCTTAGCCTTATGCAATTTAGGGAGGCAATGCTTAGCCTCATGCAAAATAGGACACAATGCTTAGTCTCATGCTGGGAAAGGCAGTGCTTAGCCTTATGCAATTAGGGAGACAATGCTTAGCCTCATGCAAGGGATAGAGACAAATGGAAAAGTAAAGTATTTCTTAGCTGAAGATGTTTGTACTGGATAATTTGTTGTCTTGAAAGCGGTGTCTTGATGTATCTGCGGATATCTTTGTCTTATTATTCATGCATTCAAAGAAAAAAATGTGAGTTCTGTGGGGGAAGGTTGGTTCGTGATTTTTTCTTTTGCCTTCCCTATGCTCCTGTCTTGAGATTTTGTTTGAGTTACCTTGGGAAACATCTGGCTGTCATAGAAATAACGTTTTCAAAAAATAGGCATGCATTTTGATAAATATAAGTGTTTAAAAAATATAGTAGTATGCGGTATCAAGTAAGCTAGATGAACCAATGATTGTCACATATTTTAGAGACATTGTGACCTCCTTGCTTTAGAATTTTGAGGGTCCTCCTCAAAATTTTCCCCAGTTTGAAAGCAATTCTTTGACTGTTCTGCGTATAACGAAATCGGTTGGACTTGCTTCAGAATTTTGAGGGCCCTTCTCAAAATTCTGCCCCAGTTTCTGACCATGACAAAATGAAGATTTTATTAAGATGTGACCAAACCCACAGGGCTACCTAGGTATCCCCTCTTAAACGGGAATCAGGTCAAACATAGTTTAGTTACATCAAATGAAGAAATGTAAATAATCCTAAACATAGTATCTCTTGACTGCGTCTGAGTTGATAGGTTTTGGCCAAATCTCTCCGTCCATTTCTGCAAGTATGAGTGCTCCTCCTATTAGTACTCAATGAACCATGTAAAGACCTTGCTATTTGGGTGAAAACTTCCCTTTGGCTTCATCCTGATGTGGGAAGATTCGCTTCAGCACCAGCTGCCCCGGTGTGAACTGTCTAGGTCTGACCCTTTTGTTGAAAGCTCTGGACATTTTGTTCTGATAAAGCTGACCATGGAATACCGCATTCATTCTTTTCCCGTCAATGAGAGCCAATTGTTCATAGTGACTCCGTATCCATTCTGCATCACTGAGTTCAGCTTCTTGTATAATTCTTAAAGAAAGAATTTTGACTTCGGCGGAAATGATAGCTTCAGTATCGTAGACCAGCAAGTAGGGGGTTGCCTCAGTTGATGAGCGAACTGTGGTATGATATCCCAATAAGGCAAATGGTAATTTCTCGTGCCATTTCTTGTGATTGTCTACCATCTTTCTCTGTATTTTCTTGATGTTCTTGTTGGCAGCCTCCACATCTCCATTCATTTAAGGCCTATATGCTATGGAATTCTTGTGCTTGATCTTGAAGGTCTCACACATAGATTTCATTAAGTCACTGTTGAGGTTTGCGGCGTTGACGGTGATGATGGATTCTGGCACCCTGAATCAACAAATAATACGATCTCTAACAAATCTGCGATGACTTTCATAGTTACAACTTTGTAAAATGCGACTTCAACCCATTTTGTGAAATAGTCTATGGCCACCAGAATAAATCTATGCCCGCTCGATGTAGCGGGTTCGATTAGACCGATAACATCTATGCCCCAAACGGAGAAAGTCCAGGGTGCGCTTGTTGTGTTGAGTTCACTGGGTGGTACTCGTATTATATCAGCATGTACTTGGCATTGGTGACACTTTTGGACATGCCTGATGCAGTCTGTTTCCATAGTCATCCAAAAATATCCTGCTCTTAATATCTTCTTAGCTAAGATAAAGCCATTCATGTGTGGTCCATAGGTTCCGGCATGTATCTCTTCAAGCAATTTGGATGCTTCCTTGGCATTGAAACATCGTAACAACCCAAGATCCGGAGT